CCAACTATCTTGAATGGATAAACCAACTGTGGCATAGCCATACCATGAACTATGAATCAGCAATAGAATGTAATGAATTATTGATACAGGCAACAACTTGGATGAATCTCAAAACCATGAGGGAATTTTTGGGGGGGGTGATGTAAATGTTCTATATTCTAATTAAGGTGGTAATTACATGAATGTATACATGTGTTGAAATTCATAGACCTATACATAGAAAAAAAATAATTTTCTTCCACAAGTTATCATAAGAAAAAAATTAATTTTATTTATGGTAATTTTTAAAATTAAACTGAAAAGAAAAAGAAAAAAATTAAACAAGATATGTAACACTCCAAATACATACCAAGACTACAAGTCTGCTTCTTTCACAGATTCCAGGGAGGTAAGGATAGGGTGGCATTCCTTCACCCTTCAGACAAGAACTCACCCACTGATAAATACTTGGCGGCTCAGAAGTAAAAAATGATGGATGATGCATAAAACCTGTTTGGCCTTTAAAATTAGATAAATGTTCATAAAGATATAAGAATGCATTAAGATAATACTATTTTATTCTAAAAGGAAGATGATCAACAGTACCTGTCATTTTGAAACAATCAGAATAACATTTTTCCATATTCTCCAAAATGCTTCCTGTTTTCTGCCATAGTAAATAACTGACTACATTATTACAAGGAGAATTTAAATGACTTCTATTTTATACTGTCCTGAATGGAAATCTAAGCAAATTCTTGTGCCAAAGGTATATAAAGAATCTAACCAAAATTTTTTGGCCTAACCCCAAAGGTGAAAAAACAGAGAGATACCCAGGATTCAGCTCTAACAACTGGCCCCAACTTTGAGTCCCTTTACCTCAGGGCCTTAGACAGTACAGTGGTGATAGAAATGTTCTGTGTCTATGCCATCTATGTGGGAACCACAAGCCCCATGTGGCTACTGAGCATTTGAAATGTGGCTAGTGCACTAAGGAACTGAATTTTTTATTTTAATTAAATGTAAGTAATATATGGCTAGTGGCTACTAACTGGACAACACAGATCTAGGTTAAAGCATCCTTGGCACTAGAAGCTCTCTCTAAACTTTTGCAAGCCAGAACCTTAAGGATGGGTAAAATTTTCCCTATACACAAAAGAAGGTGTGGCTTACTATGAGTCAGAAAACAAGCACAACAAATTAAAGTCTGCCCCAACTTAGAGGCTAATGGTAAGAAATATATCCTCTGCTATTCACTGAAAAAGACAGAAGCAAATGTCACTACACTGTTCAGAAAATCTTTGATGACACAAATACTTACCTTGATCGATTGTGCACACTTGTCCCGTAGTTCTGACAAGTGTTGGGTAGTCTCTGTAGTAATGATCTACATAAGGCCCCAATTTTAAGTCCCTAAAACAATGAGAGCATATAAAAAAGAGGATATTATCGCATTTTTTCCCTGCAGAGTTAGAAAGATTCATCAGTTGAACTTTTTAATTTAAAATAACTTACTTATGAGAAAAATAATCAAATCCAGCTTCTCTTTATTGTCTTTCTGGACTTTAAAGTACCCAATGTGACAAAAGCAACCCAATCTCCTTTTCCTAGTTAGATTTTGTGGAGGTAAAACTAGAGTAAAAGCACTGTGGTCTAATTCCTGCTCTGTTATTCATTAGCTGTGTGAACTTCAGCAAGTCATCTCTATGAACCTCAGTATTTTCCTC